TCTGATACATTATACTGCAGACGATGAAAGATACTGAAAGCAGAAGGAGAGCACATTTTTCCGTGTAACTGACATAATGTACGGTGTCAACCCTACTTCTAAAGAAAACCTGCGAGATGTCACACACCCATTTCCTGTGGAGGTTCCCCATACTTCCTCCCACTGTCTCTATGTATGTCAATGCACGTGGGTTTCAGCCATTTGTGTATAGGCGTTTTATAAGGTAAGCAGCCTTCTCTTTAGCACTAGTGATTGAAGTAATTGAGAACCAATGAGTCTTGCATAAATAACTATGTTTAAATGCACACAAGTATTACACTATTATTCTGAATATTACTACATTTTGAATGCAATAAAGGTCATGCTAACAACCTTATCCTGATATTAGCATTATTCCCCGTTAAGACGTGTGATATGGTGACATTTCTCAGGTTTTGGAGCATTCTTTGGACATATATTCAGCGCATACAGAAGACCCATCTCCATTGGGCTTTTTTCAACATGCGTCTCATTGTCCCGCCTTGTGAGTTGTACACAAACAAACTGAGAGCCCAAACGAAAACATGGTCAGAAGGAGACACACACCTGCTTTTAAACTTTGTGAAATACTTGTATCAACCTTTTCAACGAGGTGATTGAAGGAAAAAATCGGAATACTTTATTCATGTTAAAGTCAAAACTCAAAGTTAACCCTTGTTTTTGTTATTTGTCCAGAAAATAAAAGGCACATCTTAGGCCCCGTTTACATGGATACGGTTCGGGTTGTATCTGCTATTTTTCTCTCGCGAACCGCGGAAACGGACCCCTCAAACGATAACGGGTCCCAAGGTGGATAGATCTGCGGACGGAACGCTCTGGGGGGCCAAACGGCTCCATGTGTACGTCCTATACGATCATTTTCCTGATAACGATGAAGCCATAGCCCCGCCTCTGCCCACCTCTGCTGCTCACTGCTGTAGCTACTATCAGTAGCTACTGTCAGTAGCAACTGCTACTGCTACTGCTACTGCTACTGACCATGCTACAGATGTTAGTGCAAAATCTACAGCTCTTCTACCACAACCATCAGCAACAAGTGGACATGGAGAATTACATGAACTACATGTTGCTGAATCCACCGCGGAGAATAAACAGAAGGGCAACCATGGCAACCATGCTCCGGGGGTCTTCTTCGCTGCTTTTGGTGTATTTTGTGGCGGAAATACAGCGCCACTTACAGGCCCGGCATATGTACTACAGCATCTCCAGCGGGTCGAGTGGTCTCGTGTGAACGGACAAGTTTATTGAGCTGATTGCGTGTGAACGAAATACTTTTTTGATATCGAATTTGGTTCATTTTCGTTTGCGTTCCCGTGTAAATGGGGCCTTAGTCAGGAACCAAAGCCTGGTCATTGTAACAGTACACCCCAAAAGGATATAGATGTATGATAATGACACTTAAATCAATGCACATTAGTACAAAAAAAGCCAAAATGACTAAATCAATTTGTCCCGCACACTCCAATTGCATCCTAGTTTTTACTATGGGTGTGACATGACATGACAGGCAGAGAATATGTAACCTGAAACTTAAAGATTCTCTAAAAATAGACGCTCTAATTTGGACGAGCCTTCCTGACAGACCCTGTAAAGTCGTAAAACGTCACTTTGGGAACAACTGCTGCTCTCCACGGTCAGCTGAGCTTGCATGACGGAGGGAAAAAGAAGCACAAAACAAGTCCACCACTGGTTATTAAGAGGCCCATCGCAAAACAGTGATGAGCACAGCACAATCTGTCCAAAGTACAGATCTGTGTGTGTGTGTGTGTGTGTGTGTGTGTGTGTGTGTGTGTGTGTGTGTGTGTGTGTGTGTGTGTGTGTGTGTGTGTGTCTCTGAGCTGCACAAGCCCTCAACAAGCGGTCCCTGTCCAGATCCATCAAACTGTAAAAATTAATCTAATAACATGGACAATCACAACAAGCTTCCCATCGTTTCCGAATGAGATACATCGCAGCAGCACAATGGGTAATTGCGCACCAACAGCAAATGCCAACGTATGTTATGTGTCACAATCCGGAGGACATCTTTCCTATGAAAAGGCAGAGGAATCGCGGCGGTGAATTGATCCGCTGATCCACGACCAAGAATGTGACCCCAGTTTACTGTAGTGCCGCTCCGCAGGGTCAAACACCTGTTGTGCTCCAACAAAAGAGCTCCATACGTCAGATCAAGCCCTCCATGCTCTGGCACTTGATTTTTAACCCTATGTATTTCTTTATGTTTGTGAGAAAGACACAAGTAGGGCTGCAACTAACTTATTTTCTGGATTTATTGATTGAAAAAAATAAATCTTCAGGGTAATCAACAGTTAAACAGATACTGTTCAAATTATTATTTGTATTTGTTTTAAAGTTCAATAAATTGATTTTTTCAAAGTCAATGAATAATCGTATTGAATAATCGTGATATCAATTATTGACCCAAATAATCGTGATCGTGATTTTTGCCATAATCGCACAGCCCTAACTTGTACTGTAGTACTGCCTGTATTTCCATAGGTTATGCAATATTGTAGTACATGCACTTCTGCAGGAAATGACAATAAAGTTGTAAACAAATGCAGAAGCTAACTCCGTTTATTAGAGCAGACAAAAGGATTAGTGATGCAACACACACACACACACACACACACACACACACACACACACACACACACACACACACACACACACACACACACCACACACACACACACACACACACACACACACACACACACACACACACACACACACACACACCACACACACACCACACACACCACACACACACACACACACACACACACACACACACACACACACACACACACACACACACACACACACACACACACACACACACACACACACACACACACACACACACACACACACCACACACACACACACACCACACACACACACACACACACACACACACACACACACACACACACACACACACACACACACACACACACACACACACACACACACACACACACCACACACACGTCATGGTGTCAATATATTGAGTTCTCTGCAAAATGCATCATCTAACCCCAGGGTTTCCACGTTGCAAACAGCAATAGCTATTAAGCTTGATCAAACAACTTTAATCTGCAGAACTGAGTGAAGAAACACAGAGTGCCAAAAGATGCTTTCTCAAGACAGGAGAAAAGCTACACAATCTCTTGTTGCTGCGAAGACTTCCCTTTTATCTATACTGTTTAAAGTACATGATGATATCAGGAAAGGTCCACTTTAAAACTCATTTACAACATAGTTGCAGCTGAGGAAATGCATCACTGAGTGAAAAAAAAAACACATTGACTAGCAATAATATTTATATTATCGTCCAGATTATTTGTTACAGTAAATGTTAGTAAAAGGATGGTTTATTCTTTTTTAACTTTGTGCAAAGCCTTGTTTACATGCTGCAGTGACAACATTCCAATATTTGAGATCAATAAAGTCATAAAATCTAGTAAAAGCTGCAACGATTAGTCGAGTAATAGGAGAAAAACAAGAATCTTCAACTATTGATATAATCTATACATCATTATAGTACACATTGAGTGATGCACGTAGAGTCAGCCAATGTATGGAAAATGAATCCATGATATTCTTTACTTATAAGTTTCATGGTTGAATTTCTGGTACATGCATAAAAAATGACACTTGTATGTTAGTTTGTTTTAAAAAGGGGAGACAAATGTCAGGATGAAACAAGACCCATTGTTGTCCGCTTAGAAAACACTTATGCTTTCTCCTCTAAAACAACAAAATGAGACCATAATGCAATTCTCTTTTCGAGGTAGCTATACAACTACTATCAACAGCCACTGTGATGTACTACTGACATAAAAAGCACACGGTTAATCAGGAATATTTCTATAATGACAGTAGTTTGAACTAAATTGACAGCAAGTTATTATTTAATGATGTAAACTCATGATAAATATTGTTGTTTTATTGGGGAAATACACTTCAAGGTGCATTATTAACTATTAACATTAAAGCTGTCTGTGAAGACTTGGCCACTTTTGTACATGCTGTATTAAAACAGGAAGCTGTCATTTCTATTTCTCAAAATTGATTAATGTGGTAGTTTTTTTTAAGAAGCACTGACTCTTAAACTAGAGGCACTCATTTCGTTCTGCAAAGCCCACCAGCAAACGGTTCCAGGAAGAGATATGCAGAGATAACATCTTTAAAGTTACCATCTTAAGACAACACAGCAGCACGTCTGCACACGTCTGAAAAATATTTCAAAAATAAGCATTTCCTGCTGTGATGGTATTTCGGGGTCAGGCTTATTCGGAAGAACACCAAGTGACTGACACTAGATGACTCCTGGTAGCAGAAATGATGAGGTTTTAAAGAGAAATCAATACATTTGCATGACACACTGATTACATTTTGACACATGCTCCATGTAGGACAATATATCGTATTGTGTTGATCGATAATATAACGTTACATAGGGACTCAACAACCTGTGAGGATCATAAAAAGGGAAATAACAAGAATAAAGACAGTTCTATCAGCTCATATTGTGATATCTGTCTCTTCTGTTCCCTTCCTGCTGAACATATCAACTTAAAACTCCTCATTTTCGGTGAGATAGCACATTATTTAACTCTAAAATGACCACGAAATGAACCAAACTCCACATAAAGGATGACAAGAGCAGCCAGGTGAAAAGGCGACACAAAACCGCCCAAAATAGTCGAAATGTGGGACATCAAACTCAAGCAAAATGCACACCTTTAGTCAAAACTTCGACCCAAATATTTTCACATAGGTGGAAACTTTTAGGCTTTGAAAAATGAATCCGTGTTTTAAATGTTTTTGTTAACCAGCGAAGCGACAGTTTCCTCACGCGGCGAGGAGCAACATTTGGTTTCAGGTGGTAAAGCGTGCACCAGTCCAGAAGACCTTATTTTTAAATATTTAGAGAAGTTTGAGAGTCTTACCTGACGGATTTAAGGAGGACAGACCTACACAGATGAGCGCGTGGAGGTTACTGTGGTCCTCGCGCTGCTACAAGTGTCGATGCGACGATGCCCCTCCTCCAGTCAAGGTCTCTCGCGCACGCTTTTTTTTTGTTGCTTAGGCGGATCTATTGGCTTGGGGATTCATTATACTTAAAATAAGAGGGGGGAGAAGTACTCAGGTATTGCAGAAAAGTATTAGCATCGAAATATACATAAAGTAGCGACAGTAAAAGTAGTCATTGTGCAGATTGGTCCATTTCAGAATAATATATATGATATGTTTTATAATGATTGATCATGAAAGTGTTCTCAAAGCTGGTAAAGGAGCAGCTAGTTTGAATGACTTTGTATACTGCAGGGTAGCTTGTGAATTTACTCCAGGTGGAACTAAAGTCTGATTTAACACTTGATTATATTTCACATCATTCATCCACATCTGTAAAGTAACTAAAGGTAATATATTTTAACTGGTCGAAGACAAGATAAGCTCATAGCATACTTGTGTGTAGGTAAATAGAGTCTGTATTGAATATTGCCTTTTCATAAGAGATATTGTGAATGGGGGAAATAGAGTGATTCATTGTGACATTTTTATTTGCTTGAGATATTTTCTTGAATAATGGGAGGAAGAAATAACATATATATTTTAAAGTAATCCTCGGGACACTTTTTTTAAATAGATTTTTTTCTGTACAAGAAAATAAAATAAAAATCAATAACGCAAGTAGAACAAATACAATAATATCAAATATTTATATTTCTTTATAATTTGTTTATTATTGATGCAGATTCAGTTAAATACAAAAGAAAATCTACCTCTGTGGACTCAGAGTAAGAGCAATGACGCCATCTACAGGTTGAGAGGGGGTGGACATATTGAATTATTATTTTATTAAATAGTACAATTCGTATCAACTCCCTTATTTCCTGAAAATAATTCTCAACAAAGCCATTTTTTAGATTTAAAACAAAACCTACCAACAGTTATAGAAATCTTTTGACCTGCAAAATAAATAAGAATAATATAAATTAACTAGAAAATGCAATTCCTGAAGAAACTTCCCTGGGAAATATAATATATAAATATATTATTCTGAAATGGACCAATTTGCAGAATGCCTACTTTTGGTACTTTAAGTATATTTTGATGCTGATACTTTTGAAGTTTTTCTTGAGTAACATTTTGAATGCAGGACTTTTACTTGTAACAGAGTATTCCTACACTCTGGTACTTCTACTTTTACAAGATCCGAGTACTTCTCCCACTTCTGCTTAACAGTGTGGACAACATAAAATATTAAGTGTAAAGTTGATGATTGACATGCAACATGTTGTGGATTTTAAGGTCAAACTGGTTCATAGAGGTCCAATAAGTGCATAAAGCAGGGGTGTCCAAACTTTTTTCACCGAGGGCCACATACAGAAAAACACACGAAGGGTTGGGCCACTCACTTGAGGTGTATTGCCTCATAAGGTGAGTTATAAGTTAGCAAAATCAATCAAATGTAGGTAAATTATTCCTGATCCTTGAATGTGCTTTAAGAAACACAACAGCCTACATCCCAGCTCTCCAGAGAGTTTACTTTATTTAGTTGGCAGCTCATCCCTTAAAACAGAAGACTCAGATTGCTTATCATAAGAGGAAATATGAAGGGTCTATTTGAAGCTTGTAATCTAAATAACTTTTTTTTTTTATCAACTAAGATTTGTTTGAAAATGTTACCAACTTGACTGAATTTATTTGAAAAGTACTTATTAACACGTAAATAATGTGTAATATATGATTACATATATATTTAAGAAGTACAATATAGGACAAGCACAAGTTTTATTTGTGGGCCAGATTCCTTTTGAATTTGATTAGGGCCGTTTAAAAATGGGCTGCGGGCCGCATTTGGCCCCCGGGTCGTAGTTTGGACACCCCTGGCATAAATACATATTAAACTGTGCAAGCAAGAGACGGTGTCAACACGTGGTGTAATTGTACTGTTTTTATTGCATGAATTGTAGTAGCTGCAGACGTTTCAGATGAGTACAGTTGGGTTTGAATCCTTCCTGCAGTGAACATGGTCAGTAGACATTCAGATGGCACGGCTAACTTGATTCTCCAGCACTTACACACTGCATTTAAAACCCTCCACTGTAGCACCGAGGGATGAGGAAGAGTTAAGAGGGGGCGATCAATTGTACCTTCAACTTTTCAACACCACATACAGTTGGCTGCAAGTTATCAAAATGTGCTTCAGTGTCTGAACACAGAAGATGGAACAGCGGTGAGTCTGAAGAGGATCATTCTGTATTTCATGAAAAGGCTGTTGTTATTGCTGTCTACCTGTTGAGACAAAAAGAGGATGGTGGTGGTGTGCTTTTGGTGTGAAACTCCCTCCAGCATGCACTCCACATGTGCTGCTCATTCAGATGAATAATCAGAACATTATTTAAAGAAATCACGCAGAAAAGACCCATCCAAATGCAGTATACAAGCTCCAAACTCTGTGGATTCAGAGTAGGAGCAATGACGCCATCTACAGGAGAGAGGGAGCGGACATATTGAAGATTGTTGCTATGATATTTCAGAAAATAAAATACAGTTTGCTAAAGTAGGTAGACCAGCCACACATTAAAACAGAGTCCTCACTGTTGGACTTTTAAAATGGTCTCTTAACGTCTTAAAAGAAACTTGGTCACTCAACTGTCACTGAAAAAACCAAATGAAATGATAATAAATGTGATTATTTTTCTGAACCTGAACATATCCCACCCTCGCGCTCAACTCATCCTACTTCAATATAGGCCTCAACGATACGGGCTCTAATGTTAATTATACATCTCTCCATACTATGTTCATATAATTAATAAAAAAATAAATACATTTAACAAATACAAATGATTTTGCAGTGGGTAAATTACCAAAAGGAACACCAACAGTTGATAACACACTCCAAGAGTAGCATTTCTGGATAAAAACCACCTCTTGTTCATGTATACCTGTAGTCTCCTCTGCACTGGTGTGATGTGTGCAGTGGTCTTTAGTGATGGGTGCAGAGGTCTTTAGTGATGTGTGTGTACGTGAACACTCACAGAGAGAAGTCAATGCTGATGATATATGTTGGCAATGGGACCCCCAAAATCTTGGCTTTGGCCAAAAAAAGGGCACGTTTACATGTCTTCCATCGGTATATCTTGTAAAAAGGTATTATGAAACATTTTCTTCTTACTCATATATATTCATTTTTTTTGCGTGTTTTTTTTAGTTTTTTTTACAAATCTTTGTATAATCTGTTTAGACATAACAAAACAGATTAACAGAAAAATCAACCAACGGAAAAAAAAAAAAATCATGCATAAGTTATGTCCCACTCTTACTGATTGCATTTGTAAGTAACCATCGTTATAACATCTGTTCTCACACATCTTTGATTTTGTACATTTTCAGCCATTTTTTCCTTTTTTTTGGGGGATAAAAACATCATTGTATTTCCAGCCAGCAGCAGCAGCAGCCGGTTTTGCTCCGCAGTCGATTATTCCTGTGTTCCCGTACAGCAGGAGGCGCAAGAGGCATGTTTTTGTGGCTGTGGGAAGGAAATCCACTCCGTAAAAGAAGCTTTAGGGAGGCGTGTGAGCGTTTATCCTTACGATTTCAATCCAGGTCCAAGAAATGAAACCCCCTTTTCCTAAAACAATTCTTTATTTTTTTTTGTTCTTTTTATTTCCTTGCCAACTTCCCCGTAAGAAGCTCGACAGATTGGCTGTGGGTTCATCTCCCAACGACCTCCGGAGGCTGACTCTGCAGCAGAAGTAGAGGGACAGGACAGTCACAGAGACGCATGGTGTCCCCTATCTGCAGAGATCTTCCTGTGTGGAGTCCCGCACATTTTTCCTCTTCTTGCTGTTGCCCTGCTGGTGAGGCTTGATGCTCTGTTGACTTTTGGTGGTGGAGGTCGAGCTCTGCTGCGCGTGATTGCCGCTCTTCTGGTGAGAACGAGACATCCTGGCCTGGGGAGGGGATATGCAAAATTTTTTTTTAGTTTGAATAAAGTCAGACTGAAGCACTCCTTTTGTGCACCAGTGGATTCTAACAGTAAACACAGAGCTGAATCCCAGGTCAAATCAAGCCCCCAGGAAGTGCGCCGGACTCTGAGGAAAATATTTGTTGTGGCCAAACGGCGGTACTACACTTCCGTATCAGTCGCTGGGCCCGGAAACACTTTTTCCCATTGACTTACATTGGGAAAGAGACGTCTGTAAATCCTTGGATCATTGTTTTTAAACTAAATAAACTACCCAGTATGAACATTTGTATAGCCCTTATTAAAAACATTCGGTCCTCAAGTTGTAAAATGTGCTAATAACGTTATTCTGAGAGTTATTTTCCTCTGCATTATGAACGCGCATCTAACCCACGGGACCGCGCCGCCCGGCACGTTCATGTGACGTATTCAGTACTACATGAGTTTATCTTGACCCATGGATAAGAACGGATTATATGATTATATGAATACTTTCGTGACGTTTCGCGCTTCAGGCCCCGCCTCCCACGCTGTATCCAGTTCTTATTATACATCCATGGGTCAAATGCACGCTAAAGGGTCTTGAGCATGTTTCTCTCATCACATGTGATGCTATGTGAAATTGACAGTTTTATTTATTTCGAAGACAAGTTTTTTTTGTTTGTTTCCTAAAACGAAGATGTTTATCAAGCTTGGTTACTTTTGAACGTTCCTTTGAACAAGAGAACTATGATTTGTGGACCATTGCATATTTTTGTTATAAAAACAAAATAGAATAAAAGTTGTTCTGTTATGACAGCTATTTAAAAAAAACAATTTTAAGACTATTGTAACAAATACAAAATAAAGTCAATATTAACACAACATACAATACGTGAGAAACTGAGTACAGTCAAGAACAATAAAATAGGACAAATACTATATACTGTATTTAAAGTGGAGAGCTGTGCTGATTTAAAAGAGGTAGTGTGAGAGGAAATGTGCAAAATTCAGAGTTTCTTTTTAAACATATTCACTTGTATGTGTCGTGTTCATTTACAGTGCGGATATTTGTTAAGATGTGTACATATATATATAGTTGCGTACCTTTCCTCCCTTGTTGCTTCCTGCTGGAGTGCTGTTGCTGTTGCTCTGTGATCGGTTGTTATTGACGACCGCAGACTTTTCTCTGTGTTTGCTGTTGCCCCGGCCGGTCGGCGGCGGCTGCTGCTTCGCCGTCTTACAGGGCGTCCCGTCAGAGTCCTGAGACACAAACACAGGAGAAAAGGAGATAAAAACCTCGCCACCGTGCTCATGTACTAAATATACTGTATCCAATGTGCTAAATACACTATATCCAATGTACTAAATATACTGTATCCAATGTGCTAAATATACTGTATCCAATGTGCTAAATACACTGTATCCAATGTGCTAAATACACTGTATCCAATGTGCTGAATACACTGTATCCAATGTGCTAAATACACTGTATCCAATGTGCTAAATACACTGTATCCAATGTGCTAAATACACTGTATCCAATGTGCTAAATACACTGTATCCAATGTGCTAAATACACTGTATCCAATGTGCTAAATACACTGTGTCCAATGTGCTAAATACACTGTATCCAATGTGCTAAATACACTGTATCCAATGTGCTAAATACACTGTATCCAATGTGCTAAATACACTGTATCCAATGTGCTAAATACACTGTATCCAATGTGCTAAATACACTGTATCCAATGTGCTAAATATACTGTATCCAATGTGCTAAATACACTGTATCCAATGTATTCATGTCATGACCTCTACACGTTTCATTTTATTACACATATATATTTAGTGTTAGCATACTAGTTTGATTTTTGCCTTTCAACGTTTATCTTTTAACATACTGTTTCAATTAAAGACTTCCAAAAATGGATTATTAAAATACAAAAAGCATCTCCAAATGCAGCATGATTGTTGTTCCTGATTGACAGTCATCCTAAACACCAATCATTTGACCTCCTTGTGTCTATTAACCTGATCAAATGTTATATTTCGCTGCGTGTACCTTTTAAAGTTCTTAACAAATAATCTGAGGGGAATTTCTTGTGGTTTATTTTTAACTTGTGATGTTTCATTTTGTAAAGCACTTTGAGCTGCATGCGTTGTATGAAAAGTGCGATATAAATAAAGCTTTATTATTAAAAGCATGATTTGTTGAAAACCTCACTAAAGAATACTAAATTAGAAATATTAAAAAAAAGTGGCTGCAGGTTTTTAGGGAAGGGATAATGTGCAGCAAGACGGTCACTAAAGAAAGGTGTGTGTGTGTATGTGTGTGTGAATGTGTATGTGTATGTGTGTGTGTGGTCATTTTCAAATATCAATATGTTCAAAAAGTTTTTTTTCAAAATGTTAAATAAATGTTTAAAATTTGAAATAGTGAAAAACAAAATATAAAAATCTTTCTTGTGTGAACCAACATATAAAACTAAATATTATACAAGTGATATTTCTTAGCCAAATAATTGGTTGTTGAATCACATGTTTTCTGATCTAAAAACCCGAAGTACAAAAGTACATTTAGTGTGTGTGTCTGTGTGTCTGTGTGTGTGTGTGTGTGTGTGTGTGTGTGTGTGTGTGTGTGTGTGTGTGTGTGTGCTGACCGCGTCGCTGGAAGTGGAGATGGAGGAGGAGGAAGGCGACAGAGGGGAGGAGGGAGAGGAGCGCAGGGAGGGGGACGGCGAGGAGGAGTTTGAGGAGGTTTTGCTGCAGGGCGCCGACGACGGTAGAACAACAACATCTTCATCTTCGTCGTCATCTTCATCATCCGGGACGTTGTTGTTGCACTCATCGAGCTGCTTGGACTCAAACTGCCTGACGTCATTTTCTGTAGAAACGGAGAAGAGAGACGCAAGACAAAATATTAACACGTTCTTTTCTATTTTTGACATTTCCTGCAACGCATATTATTGGTAATCCTGTATTTAAAAATTGTCCAAAATAACTAAAATGTATAATCAAAAGATATAATCATTATTTATGTGGATTTAATGACTAAGTGGGTAAAAGCTAATTAACAAACAGATACAACAGTGCAGTTAAATCATACAAATGACATAACATTTCTGTAACGCTGCCTTTAAAAACCAGGGAAAGACAATATCTAAAACGAAATCTAGTACCATATAACCATATAGATTAATACCAATCAATTGCCCCAGTCTTAATAAAGCCATGCTGCTGGGACCAGTAACTGAAAAATAATAACCCTTCCCTTTACCTCTCTTAGATTTAGAGTCAATATTTAGATGCAATATGATTCAAAGATATATATTAAGAAATGTAAGGAGTTTGGTCGTACTGTTGAGCGGCAGGTCGTTCTGAGACGGGCCCCCCCAGTTCTTCCGGATCCATTCCCTGTAGTCGTCCACTTCCTGTGTGACTCGGATGATTCGACCCAGTATGCTGCGATGGGAAACAGAGAGAGGTAAACCTGTTAAACCAGTGTGTGTATACAGCGGTCTGAAAACAGATGGTACTGTGCCCTGTAGTGCCGGAGCGATATGTTGCATAAACTCAATGTGTCACGGCCTACGTACTATCTACAAATATGACTATAGCGCCAACACAAAGTAACATGTGTCTGGTACTTTTTGACATGAGACTTGCTTTGGGGTTTTGCTCCTCTTGCTCTCTCCCATTGCCCTCTCTTCCTCTCACAGACATACAAAAACGATATGTCACACCTCTCAAAACCAGGAGTTAAACTGGGCCGAGGCCGTTTACAAAAATGGGTTTAAAATGCATGCTCTGCCCCAGGGGCGTCGCCTGGGCCTGAAAACATTCGGGGCTTAGCCCACAGTGGCGGCGTCACTAGTGGCATTTTTTACTGCAACACTCCCCACACGCACACACACAGTACACCCGCGACTGTTACAATAAAGGCTCGATAATCAGCTCACGGCATATAGGCAGGGGTAAAGTGGTATTTTTTACCTCACAGCAGACCTCACCTCCTCTAGGGGGGTCCGGGGGGATGTTCCCCCAGGAAGATCTTTTTTTAAATATTGAAGTTAAAAGCATCAATCTGGTGCACTTTGAGAGCAACATGAAGAGATCTATGGATACCTCTCTCAACACCCATATGAAGCAGAACTGTAAACAGATGTACTTTTTCTTTATGGATATTTTACTAATCACTCCCCTTTTAAACTCTATTCTTGTTTTACTGCCATATAGTATTTCATAACTGTTTTTCCTTTATTCTCTTATTTTTTTTATAACTATAATGATCATATGAAGGTGTGCCGCGGAAATAATCTTTTGAATAATTTGTGACCAAACAGTTTGAGACCCACTGAGATAACTTAGACTAAAGTTATGTATCTAAACACTCTGAGAGACTCAGGTGAGCTAAAGGACTCTCTGTCTGAGAGGAGAGGACTCTCCTCCAGCTTGTTGTGGAACAAACAGCTCCTTATGTCCGTTAGTGCAGCTAGCTAACCAGATGCTAACAACACGTCCCTGCTGGCAGCGGTCCCTCCCTCCCCCTCTCTCTCTCTCTATCACACTAAATGCGCTATTGCCACACACACACACAGAGCCGAGCTTGAATGACACAAGCACACGTTTATTTCCATGCAACTCTCTGATTGGTCTGGTGTCATGCCTCTGTTGCATTCACTGAACACGGGAAATTACAATGTTGCCGTCCTCTCTTGTGTCATGATGAGGTTCACGTAAAGCACGGTTAATGTATTATATTATTGAGGGAGAATTGTCCGGGGCTACAGAAAAAACATTCGGGGCTAAAGCCCCGGATGCCCAGGCCAGGCGACGCCACTGCTCTGCCCCCAAATAATGCGTCTGCATATCACATCAAGCGCTCCCTAAACTTAAAGCGACACAGCAGCCAATATGGAGATTTTCTGACTTTTAGCAAGCTTTATTTTATTCATTTATGCCGTCATTGTATTATTTGTACAAGCATATATCACAACATGCATATACTGTAACCTCATCCGCACCATATCCACTATTTTTGGTTGGATGCCAGCTCTATTTCATTGTACTATGTGCAATGACCATGGAGTGGTGCAGGAATGAGTCCTAAAACCTGATAAGTCAGCATTTCACCACTTATTGTTCTCTTGTCTACAAGGCAATGGTTTTTTGAACGTGTTTTTGGAAATCCACATTTCTGCACCACTCAATAAAGTTGAATGTAATCTGATCTCACCTCTCGGTCTCGTTGTTGGGGTAGTATTTGGCGATGGGGGACACGGCGTGGCTGAGCACCACGTAGGCGTAGTCAAACGCCTGCTTCACCTGCATGGCACCGTATGAACTGCGACCCACATCGTTATCTGTTGGAAACAAATCAGACGGTGAGATTGTGTGAATGCGAGACACACGATATGCTTAAGGGCCACACATACAGAAAAATATACGAAGGGCTAGGCCACTCACTAGAGGTATACTGTCTCAGAAGTTCAGTTATAAGTCAGCAAAATCAGTACTACGGTGTAATATATTTGTACATTTATCGTTAGTTTGGACACCCCTGGCCTAACCCTTTTTTCTCCTCCCCGTCCACTGTTCCCACCTGGCTGCAGAGGGTCCTCGATATAGAGCATGGAGGGCCTGTAGCTGTCCATCATGCTCTTCTGAACCTCGTCTTTGGCCACGTAGCAGCCTCCGTCAGCGATCCGGATGCCTGTCTTCAGATAGTTGAAGTGGCGACCGTAGAGCTCAAAGAACTCGATGAGCAGAACGCCGAAGTTGATGTTGGGACTGCACACATCCTCCCTGTAGTGAAGCTGGAAGGTAACACAGCACCATGTCAGGATTATTGCAAAAGTGAGTTATTTTAAAAATAAATTGAAGCGTGAGCACAAACGTTTTGCATTGTTTTCACTGAAAGCGGCAGATAGTTGTGATTCGGGCTGTTTTCTCTTCAGATTTTTGATGATTTTTCTGATTGAGGTGTTTAGGATTCACCCACTTTAATACAAATGCTATTCAGATAGATACAAATAAGTAGTTTAGGGGCCAAATATCAGTTTTTCTTAAGTCATAAAGAAGAAAAAACTAGTTGATAAAAACTAGGGATGGCCAAAAAAGTTCCAATTTCTGATTGGCTGGGCGAATTGCAAACCACGTAACCCGTAAAACTCGAAAAGGTTTTGTGAAGCCGCAATTTTATTTGCTGGCATTAGCATTATTAGCATTAGCCCCACGCACCAACGGAGAGAGACTAACTTATGGCAACACAAAAAAAAACATGGGAGCGGTGGAGCGATGAGGAGGTGTCGGCGTTCTGGCGATTTACTCGGAAGGCTTCAGTAGAAGCTGCTGGGAGTCCCAGCAGCTTCTACTGAAGCCAGTCCCCAACTCCGGGGACTCCGGGTGGCAGTATACGCCGTGAAGTTCTTTGCGGCCTGCCAGTAAACACAAAGCAGAAGAAGAAGAAGTGACGTCAGCGGCTTCATTTGCGTAATCTTCCCTCAGGGAACTTATTCCGGTGTGAACGCTATCTGCTCTTTAGTTCCATGGGGGAACTAAGTGCTGGGAACTAAGTGCGGCAAAGTACTTGGTGTGAAAGCGGCTAATGGATCAGACATCTGAACTAAATGAAAAAAAACTATACAAAGTTTAGATAAAAGCAGCATCTGTACTATTATTTGTTAATGGCTAATGGTGTTTTTATTCTAAGTGCATCCATACATTGATTTCACTGAAGGCGGCATATAGTTGTGATTCTGGTAGTCTTTAAGGGCCAAATATCAGTTTTTCATAAGGAAGAAGAAGAAAAAAAAAATGATAAAAAAAATCTAGGGATGCGCTGATAACGGCTAAATCAATGTATCAGACATCTTTGAGCGCTCCCTAATATAGACATTGAAGCTCTGGTGGCTGGCGGAGCGTCTCTTACCTGCAGGAAGCTGACAGCCATGAGGAAGAGGCTGTAGGAGCCGATCCCTCCGGTGAAAACCTCGTTCAGGTCCCTCTGCAGGAGGAACTGCTTCAGCACCAGCACCAGGTAAGGCAGCACGGGGTATTTCTGCAGGGAGAGACACAGGGAGGAATAAATGTAGATGCATACAGCGCCCTCTGGAGGAGAACAGGATTTTGTGTGTGCTGTCATACTAATGAGTAGTATATGGAAAGCCAACTTGAGATTGGCTTATTCTCATATTGCCTGAATGAAAACATTACCTTTATGTGCCACAGAAGACAATAAAACTCCATTAATGTTTTCTTTGTTTATCTCCTGTGATGTTAAACATGTGTTAAAAAGTGTTGTTTAAAACTGAAAATGCTACTAAGAACCACTTTATTGAATCACTCTCCTGTGCAATAAACACTTCTCTTGTTAATGCTGCTATACACATTTTGTATTGAACTTTAAAATGTGCACAGATCTCCACTTTAACATGTAATATACTGCACTGGGATTGAAATGTTTCTCATAGTTTCACTTTATTCTGTATTTATATTCATTGTAATAGTTTCTCTGTTTTTTATTTACAATTTGTATTTTTATAACAGTTCTATTTTCTCACAACTTATTTTCCTCATTTTGTGTTTATGTACGGTATTTTGTGGCAATTACCCAATCTGTAGTGTCAACATAGTGAGGAAGAATATAAGCCAATCAGCTGAAAGTAACTGAAGCTGTAAAAAGTAGAATGCAGTCTCCAAAGTAAAGGGGAAGTATGAAGCAGAATTAAATGAAAAATACTCAGGCGGAAGGATACAGGAAAGACATTTTGTGTGTGAACATTTCCCCCAAATTGCATAATTTTTGCACACCGCACCTCTTTGAATTCCTTTATGAGCCGGGCAGCTTTTACGCCACTCTTCACGTTGAAGCTGATGTCCACTTTGACCTCAGTGAAGGAGTCCGTCAGCTTGATGATGGGAACCTGAAACACACATTAGAGCAGGTGTTAAAACTGAGGAAGCCACAACAATTAGACGCTGGCTCAAAGGCCTCCTGACAATGTGCTGTAAGCCCCTTTTAAATAAACCTGCATCCTGTTGCAAGCCTGAAAACAAAAACACACATGCTGCACTAATCCTTAACTAGCGACTGTGGCTGTGAGGGAGTGCGGTCGTCTTTCAACCAGAAGGTTGTGGGTTCGATCCCAGCCCATGCAGTCAACATGTCAATGTATCCTTGGGCAAGATACTTAACGCTGTTGCTCCCGATGGCATGGCCAACGGTGTGTGAATGTGTGTGAATGTTAGGTCCTAGAGTAAGGTACACTGCTCTGTGTGAATGGGTGAACGACATGTAGTATGTAAAGCGCTTTGAGGGGTCTTAGGCCCCGGCTCCACGAGGACGAAAACGGGTTGAATCCGCATATTTCTCATGCGTATAGCCCTCTCGACGACGTAAGGGAAACGTAGAAACAGACCCCGCAAAACGACAACGGGTCCAAAGGTGGATAGATCTGGGAACGGAGCGCTCTGGGGGGTCCAACGGGGCCGTGGAGTCGCCTATACGGTCATTCGTTTTCATAGCCCCGCCTCTCCCCACCTCTGCTGCTCACCCCCGAATTCAGATTATTTATCTTTATCTCGATATGAACATAAACGCGAGTGAAGTCTAATCTGACAGGACGGAGACACGCAGCTCCTCCGGCTGTGAAGCAGCGGGAGCAAAACACACACTTCAAGTCAGATCACCACCCTTAGCTATTTTAATTACCTCTCAAACTACCTAAACTAGTTATAAATGTTTATTTTTACTGTCGGGTTTACTTACTGGATCAGCTGCTGCATGAGGAAGCATGAAGATTTAAACTTTAACACACATTGACCGGCAAAAAACTCTGCGCGGTTCCCTCCGCCCCCACCGTGGAGAATGAACAGAAGTGCAGCCATGACAACCATTCTTCTTCGCTGCTTTTGTGGAGGAAGTTGCTGCTTTTGTGGAGGAAGTTACAGCGCCACGTACAGGTTCGGCATATGTACTGCAGCTTTTCCAGCGTTTGGATGTAAACGGAGCCGTCTCGTGGAGCTTGACACAATCCGGTGTATATTGCGTGGGGACGGAAGGTTTTTTGCGGTTGCATTTGCGTTACTCCGATGCGCTTTGCCGTTTTCGTCCTCGTGGAGCCGGGGCCTCAAAGACTGGATAAAGCGCTATATAAGTACAGACCATTTAACTAAACTAATTGAGCAGAGAAGTGCTAATCTGCTATTTCTAATCTCTAACAAAAGTGAGAGTTGAAAGAAACAAAGAGCTGTATTCAGATCCTGATGCAATATAAAACACAATTCATTCGACGCAACGTTTAAAAATAACTCAAAACACTAAGTCAGGGCTTCTGCAGGTTTCAACACGTTCAATTTAAAAGGGGCACTAATCTGCTGCTTCTCAGGTTCATATCAGTATGTAATGCATAAAAGACACAGAGCACATATTGTATCAGTAAAACATGTTAGTACAAACCTGAGGCGTTTGAAAGTAAATCAGAAACCTGGTTTATGAGAGTCAGCCCTGATTAATGACCGAAACTATTAATATTCACCTTTGTCAAACTGGCATTACTTGTGCATTTGCATGGAGCGAGGTGACAGATCAATTCAACTGGTATCATATTAAATCACTGGCAAGAAAATAGAGAACACTTTCTACATTTCAGATTTGATGAAGACTTTTTAAATGAACATGATCAGGAAGAAATGAGATCTGCAAAGCAAAGACCTGTAGCACTAGTCAATATAAAAATAGAAGCTTAGTGTTTGAATGCTGCATGCCAACAAGGGTTTTGGATGCAATAAACAACAACCATCCAAAGCCTGATTTATGAGAGTCAGCAGTGATTAATGACTGTACTATTGTTCCTATTTGTCAAACTGATTTATTAGTGCGTTTGCTTACTGTCACGCTGTCAGGTCAATTCAACTGTCAGATATATTAAATCCTTGGCGGGGAAATTAACTTTAAAAAGTGAAACCAAACAACACAGAGCACACTTTCTCTTACCGTCGCCTTGTCCAACACTTTGATGGAGTTCTCGTCGGCGACGTTCCTCTTCCGGAGCGCCTCCTCCAGCGTCCACAGCGGGAGCGTCTCCCATTTCCCAAAAACTACCAGGTCAATGTCACTGCAGGGGGGGGGGGGGGGAAACACGACAGGTGTCAGTGAGGTGTGAAGAAACATACAGGATCGTCTCGTACAGCGGCACAAGGGGAGTAAAGAAGAGCATTTTGGCCATGACAAAATGCCAGCTCCCACGTCATGGCCATTTCTACTGATCATAATTCCATTGTTGAGGTATACTAAAATAGATTTATATTGTGCAATTTTCCAAAATCTCATTGATTTCTCATACAGCATCTCTGTATAGTATGTGTATTCACTCTCTGTCCTTAACGGCTTGTTGGAGCTCCTGACCCCCCCTCCCTATGAGCCCAGTGGCCGTCTGTGAGACAGCGAGACACAGTGAAACCAGCCCGAACACACACACACACCGACTCACAGCCTCGCCGCGTCCCACCGTCTCAGGGAGGAGAAATCGGCGGAGCTGCAGCTGAGAAAAGATTGAGTGTGTGTGAGGAAGTCCTTAAGGACTTAACGTAACGGCTCCACGGATTGGTCCATTTTGACCAATCCACGGAGGGGTCGTCGTTACGTCACTTGGTTCCCGGAAGAAGAACATTTAAAAAGAGAAATCTCCAACGAGGCGTTCTGGGGCAGCATAGACAGGTCTTTTCTGTGTTAGAGTTTTACTCGCTACAGGGTGTACTTTGAGGGGTTGTGACTCTGCAGACCGTTTACATGCAGAAAAACCTTCATAACACACAAGGGGACGGGTAATAACCGGAAAAGCATGACAATAAAAAGACTTACAACAGCCATTTTTAAATATCCTCCACATGGTATCTGAGAGGTGGATTTGCTTCCCTCTTGTGGAAGAACAGTGTGCAACAGCGTGTGTGTGTGAACTATTTTAGCAGTGCCATGTGTTCTCTT